ATGGTGGTAGAAACATTCTGCTTTGGGGGTGTTTTTCTGCTAAGGGGCAGGACAACTGCACCGCATAAAAGGGACGATGGACAGGGCAATGTACCGTCAAATCTTGGGTGAGAACCTTCTTCCCTCAGCCAGGGCATTGAAAATGGGTCCTGGATGGGTGTTCCAGCATGACAATGACCCAAAACACACGGCCAAGACAACAAAAGGAGTGGCTCAAGAAGAAGCACATTAAGGTCCTGGAGTGGCCTAGCCAGTCTCCAGACCTTAATCTGATTGAAAATCTGTGGAGGGAGCTGAAAGTTCGAGTTGCCAAACATCAGCCACCAAACCTTAAGGACTTGGAGAGGATCTGCCAAGAGGAGTGGGCCAAAATCCCTCCTGAGATGTGTGCAAACCTGGTGGCCAACTACAGGAAACATCTGACCTCTGTGATTGCCAACAAGGGATTTTTCACCAAGTACTAAGTCATGTTTTGTGAAGGGAATCAAATACTTATTTCCCCCATGAACATGCAAATCAGTGAATCATTTGTTAGACATGCATTTCCTTTGAATTTGTCCGTTTTCTCGGTGTTACAATACACCTACCATTCGATTTTTAGACTGATCATTTCTTTGCGAGTGGGCAAACATTCAAAATCAGCAGAAGATCAAATAAATATTATTTTCTTCACTGTAGATACATATATATATATATATATATATATATATATATATATATACACACACACACACACACACACACACACAGCTAAAAGTGGTTGTGTCACAACCACTATTATTTATTCATTAATGTATTTCATACATTTATTTATTTCACGTATTCATATACTGATTTGCCATTTGTTTGGGGGATTTGTTATACAAACAACCCTTTTGCCATTAAATTTATTTTTACTTGGGTCTATTTAGGCTATTTATTTCTGTGTTATGAGGCATTATTTATGATGTAATTTAGTGTGTTCATTTTGTGGGGTGTGAAGAGCTGGGAGGTATTTATTTACTTATTTAATATTGATTATTGATTAACATCACTATTCCATTTTGCTGTGATTGGTTTGGCAACGCAACACTTATTTATTTCTATTTTTTATATTTTGGTTTATGTGGGTGTTTGCAGCAGCCCCTGATAATTACCACTGTGAGTTGGCAGTGCATTTGAGTTTTTTGTACATCAATAAACATGTTATACTCATCTGCTCTGTGCAACAGTTTTGCACAGAGTGGCCCTGAACCTCCTCTTCTGGGATAACCTGCTGGCACTCTTGGTATCTCCTCTTCTGTGTCTGCTTTGTGGGCTTTGTCAGGTTTTGTGTGTCCATAGACACACCCAGTGTAGCTTGGCCCCACCCCAAGGTCAAAGGATTTGATTGAAAGTAGTAGGAGCCAATGGCTCCAGCTGCTGCCTCTTTGCATGTGAGGAGTGAGAGAGTGCAGCAATGCTACTCTCAGGAACAGTGGTGGATCAAAAGAGGAGCCAGATAAGTATTGGGGGGGGGGGGGGGGCTGATACTGGAGTGCTTTTACCTTTATATATAGAATGCAATAAAAAGGGAAAAAAAAAAAAAAAAAAAAACCCACAAACCTTTAGCCTTTACAACCACTTTAATTTCAGGTACACTTGACCTGCTTTAGCTGCTTTTGAATTCCCCTAGGACACATACTGTATGGTGAAAGAAGTAGTTCTGAAACAAATGCCCAATGCACAGGCCCTAAGAGGGATTTACTTGACTCATGGTCACCATGATTGAAAGTAATGGCAAAATGCAAAAATGTGAGTTATCAGCAGAAGAAAAGTGAAGGAGTTCTTCTGATGGGGACGTTTGTTCTGCTAACAAATAATTTTAGGAAGGCATTTCTTTAAAACTTTTGTGAGAATGCCTTCTACTTCATGGAACTCTTCATAGGACACAGACAGAAAGGAAAACGGGCATTGCCATTCCCTACTCTATCCAAAATGGAAAAAAGCATGGGCTTTAGATACACTTTAAAGTGGAAATTTCGTCAGAAAATTAAGTTCTGCTACGTCACTTCAGGTTGGCCACTTTTGCAGGTACAGTATATCTATGTAAAATAAAAATACAAGCTGTTAATGTGAAATGTATGTTGCTTACTAAAAGCCATTTTCTTAATCAAGTTTTTATGCGTAAAGTTCCACTTTAAATTAAAAAAAAAAAAAAAGCAAACTGTATTGCTACATTGTTAGAAACACTGTGATTGGTTTGTACACAACATATTTCTGGCAGTTTTTTTTTTTTTTAGTTTTATACTTGAACAGTTGTGCAGATCATCCAACTAGATTTGTCACCATCTCAGGAATACTCTGATCTGAGGTCCTTTCCAGTTACAAAGTCCTGCCGTCCTGTCACACCATACTGGTATCATCAGTTTTTCCATTCTCCTACTCTGTTGATATCTACTGAAGAGGAGAAGTAAAGTTTATGATGGTCCTGTATAAATCCTGCACACTTTTACTCGGCTATGTGAGGACACAGATATCTCCCTTGTAAGACTTATAGCTAGAGCCTAGTGTAAACAGCCCTGCGCTGTGATGTCTGTACACTGGACGACCCCATAGAAGAACACAGTGGGTAATTAATGACTCTTGGCACCTTTCTATTGGTGCGTGTCCAAAGAGATTTCCAAAATAAAAAGCGCTAAAAAACACTTGTAAACAACTACAAATCTGTACAGCTTGCGTCCATTTCATGTGCCAAGAGCTGTAAAAAAAAAAAAAAAAAAAAAAAAGGCTAGGACCTTTCTAGTTGTGTTATGTGCAGGAGAGAAGATAATGGTGACAACATGGCTGAACACATTATCTGCAGGATTGGGTATGTGGCTGCAACTGAGCCAAGAGACAACAACATGCGGTGACCAGATCATGCCTCTCCATCAGCCTGTTCTGTGGCCAGGGGCACCGATAAGAGGGCCCGGCCAGCTACCAGTTTCAAGTACATGTTGCTTACAGGGGCGGACTGACCGTTTGGTCAGGGGGCCCCATGAGAGGCTCTGTACCTGCACCTCTACCCGTTGCAGAGCACTGTTCATACTCCATCAAACTTTCCTGCAAAGCGGCCCCGGTTCATGGTGCTCTTCTCATTAGTTCAATTTCCTATTAGTCCCGTTTCTAGATCAGGGATATGTGATCGGTTCCCCCATCCTTCCCAGACACACAGACCCCTTACATGAGGACAGGACGGAGACAGCAGAGAGCCTGGTTTCTGGCCACAGAACAGGGAATGCCCCCTCTGGGAGAACCATGCATAAAAAGCCCCTCCCCGCCTTTGCAGCCCAGCCAGCGGCTGCTCACTGCCCACCAGGATCACTGGCCTGGCTCTACAGCCCTGATCTTCCATTCATTTTGACGTGGCCCTGGCTGAGTCATCCAGAGATGATCCTGTGTGTATATGGAGGACGATCTTCACACACTGCTGTAAAAGGCGATATGGAGGCGGCAGATTTAAATATACAGAACACAGCAGAAACTCTAGATCCTGACTGTCTGAGCATACAAAACAGCAGCCTGGGGCCAGAATTGTGAGTAGCAGACCATACTGACCATACTCTCACCTCCTTCCCCTCGCTCCCTCTCCTCACCCCCCCTCTCCCAGCCCCCTTTTTGACCACTCTCACCCCCCCCTCTCTCCCAGCTCTCCCCCCTCTTTTGCTAACCCCCCTCTCATCGCTTCCTCTTATCTGCTGTCACCTCTTACCTTTCTCACCTTCCTCCAGGGGTGGGGTCAGGGGCAAAGTTGGAGGCCCCCCCCATAAGGTAGGCTGTATGGGGCCCCAAAATTTCTAACAGTGGCCCTGTCTCTGGCTGCCACCATCAGTTGCTGACCTGTGACAGTTCTGGAATATGAAAGAGCAACGTATAAAAACAGAAGTGTGGAGGACATGAAGCTGGCCACACATGCTGCAAATCTGATTGTGTAATCCGCTTTACAGGTATCAACAACTATGCAGTGCAAGGACATACCTGATGGTACAAATACTAATGGATGTCACTTAGACTCTCCCCCAATCATAGTTCGTGGCACAGGCAGTGAAAGCAATGAAAGGACTTTTCTTAATCCTAGGTTCACATATGTGCGGGTGGTGCCGCTGCAGATCCGCACCACCGGCACAGAGAAATGCGGACCCACAGGCAGATGCCATTAGTTCTAATGGCACGCCGCCCACACTGGAAAATGGAACCGTACTGGGGACTTCTTCCCTGCGTGTCCCGGGGCACGGGAGTCCATTCAAATGAATAGGCTCTCGTGCCTGTGCAAAACGCGGCCCGCACGGCCGCATAGATGTGAACCGGGGATAATGGAGGAAAAGATAAGGGGAGGGTCTTTATCAGGAACTTTTCTCCCAAAGGGTATTAACCTCGTGCATGCCAGAATTTCAGACACAGGAAGAGAACCGAACATCCCTACAGGATCCAGCTGTCTGCATGACAAGGGACATACTTTGTTACAGGTAAGTAATGTCTCTAAAACAAAAAAAACACAACTTAGCTAAACGTTCAGTAAATGTTCCGCACGTTGCTGCATCTAAGCCACACCCACTTTTTTACATTTTGGTGGTTGCTGTGGATGAGCTAGGCACATCAATACATCTGAAATCACTCAAATGTAAATGTGACACCATTATAAAGCTCACAGTATCTTCAGGAGAAGGTTTTGTTTTCCCCATTAATACGCTATATCTTCTTGGCAGCCAAGACAAAGAAAAGTGCATAAGTACTGTAGACAGCGAAGTCTAATAAAATACAGAAGGGTTGGAGATAATGAAAACCAGGCTCCAGAGCATGCTGTCCTTTTCACGGTGAAGCTCCTCTGTCTTCGCCTGTACATGTATGTCTTTTTACTGTGAATCTTCTCGATCTATCTTCTATATACAGATGCCTTTTTACTGTGAAGGTCCCTTGTCTTCACCCATAAGTATGCCTTTTTACTATGCTGTCCTATTAACGGTTAACCAACCGCTAGCTAACAAAACCGGACAGTAGCAGCCAGGGGCGGACTGACCATTTGGAAACTCAGGCACTGCCCGAGGGCCCGGGATGAGTTGGGGGCCCCATGAGATGCCCCTGGTACCTTTTTCATGGGCTTTTTTGAGTTTTGGCAAGGACACAGGGGCCCCATGATCCCCTATTGCCCGGGGGCCCCATGAGTTGTCAGTCTGCCCCTGGTAGCAGCATTGCATTTCATTCAAAAACTGAATTTACTTCTGTGAACAATTCTGTAAAACTACAATACAAATCATGTAAACTGAAATTACAATATGCTTGTACACGTCTCTCACAAATGCATACAATTAACATATTTCTTGTTCCGCTTGTTTGCCTCCCCTCCCCCCTCTACTGCCATATTTGGAACCTCTCTTGGTGGGGGGGAGCGGGTACCTGGTTTTGTCAGGTACCCGCTCCTACTTCCAGCTCAGTTCACGGTGGCAAAGTGAGCCGGAAGTTTGGCCCCCTCCTTCCTCCCGCAGTCTCCTGGGAACCTTCACAGCTCCCAGAAGACTGCCGGACAAATCAGGATGCGCAGCGTGACTTGTCACAAGCTGTCACAGCCTGGTGCCCACAGTTGAGATGCTGGGGCCGTGGAGAGAAGAAGAGAAGGGACAGCGCGCGGGGTGAGTACATCGCTGGACCCTGGGACAGGTAAGTGCGTGTTTATTAAAAGTCAGCAGCTACAGTTTTTGCAACTGCTGACTTTTAATAAACCCAAAAATAACTGGAACTCTGCATTAAGGTGAAACTCAACAAAGACTATGAAGTATGAAACTTGTTGGTATATTCCGAAATTGGAGGCCAAGAGACAAACTACTGTAAGGAAGTGGCAGGGGAAGTTGGAAACTCATGTACCAATGCAAGAAAAATAAATTAATAAATAAATACCACACAGCAGAACAGGATCTTTTCATGTGGCTTTGAGGAAAGCAATGAAAATCACTTTAATCCTTTAAATAACATGGTTGGGAGATGCTCTAGAGCTGTAAATTGTGTTACAGAAAGTAGGAATTTCATGCACAAATCTCAGCAACAGGGTAGTTTGGCATGATTGTCTGAAATTGATTTCACCTTTTACAATTAGCTTGGCCTACATACAGCAACAGCATTAAAGAAGGGAAAAAAAAACAAAAAAAAAACCCCCGTTAGCTTAGCTTTAGCAGCAACACATGCCTCGTCATCAAACAGTAACGGCTCTACTTTTATTGGCAGGTAGAAATTGGGTAGTAGTTCGCTGTGGCCGTTCTTGCTCTCGTCAATGCAAAAAACTGTCCAACTTCTTCCTAGTTCTCATTAGCAATTAGGAGGCTGCAAAACATTTGTAATGAGCATGAATAGGCCCAAATTTACAAGAGACAAGGAGCACAGGCTGGAATTTTACTACTAGAATTAAAGTGATGTAAAAGGTTCTTAATTTCTTTTTATATATAAACATGTTATACTTACCTGCTCTGTGCAAAGGTTTTGTACAGATCAGTCCTTTTCTGGAGTCCCCCCGCCAATATTCTCGATTTCCCCTCATTTCCAGGTACCCCCATACGAGGCCGCTTGCTATGGGTGCACTCGTGCAGGCTCAATCCTGTGCTGGGCTCAGTCAAAGTGATATTTTTGTGTACAGAAAAGCATACGCAATTTATTTTTTTAAAAATGATCCTTTGTCGAGAGGTTTAGGTGTGTCTGTGAGACTCACTTGTGGCCAGGGGCGGACTGACTATTTGGAAACTCGGGCACTGCCCGAGGGCCCGGGGTCAGTAGGGGGCCCCATAAGATGCCTCTGGTACCTTTTTCATAGGCTTTTTTGAGTTTGGGCAAGGACACAGGGGCCTCATGATCCCCTATTGCCCAGGGGCCCCATGAGATGTCAGTCCGCCCCTGCTTGTGGTCCAGTAGTTAAGAGTACGCACAGGACTGTGGCTTAGGTGTGCAGTGTATAATGCGACTAGGCTCAAGTTCTGTTTAATCATCCCTCTTTAATCCTCTCCCACCGTTACATGCAACCTAATCATGACTGGTGTGCACATTACTTTTTTTTTGCTCCATCCTAGGGTTCCCCAGGTCATTCATAATCCTAGTCATGCTCACATTTATCCCGCTTTTTTTTACTTTTTCATTGTGAAGGTTGGCAGATTACTTCTACACATTGTCCAGCTGCGCCCATTCAGCATAACTGCCGGTGTATTTTCTCCTCCCAGGTGCATACAGCCAGTCATGGACATAAATGGCTGTCTGCTGCTGTTCTCATGTATATGGCAGTGCTATCCGAAACACTAGTACAGTGTATGGTGAAATAGAAATGTTCCTATTTTTGCCATATGCTCTTATGCTAAAAACACCTATTTATCACCCTTGAAAAACAAAGCCCACTTTTCTTTTTTTTTTTTTTTTTTTAAAGTGAAGTCAGGCAGAAAAAAAAAAAACAAAAACCACATCACACTCTAAAATAAAGCACTCCAAAATGAATAGAATCTTAAAATACAATCCTCTGGTTTCTACAGTTGTCAGAATGAGATAATCTGCAGAATATATAAATATGTGTCTGTTAGGTGTACACCGGAAAGAACAAAGCTCTGCAGAACTCTAGAGAGGTTTGTAATAGAATAATCTGCAGAATATATCAGGAAAAAAAAAAAAAAAAAAAAAAAGACACGTGCTTGTACTTGTAGTCCCCTAATATGGTCAATTTTTTTTTTTAAAACCAGCATAGTTCTAAAATTCAGTAACAGATTCTCTCAGCGTGTCTAAATTATTGATGGTTGGGAAAAGATTTCATATTTAATCGTAAGACTATTAATTACACTGCAGAATAACCTCACAATCCCGACTTGTCTCGCCAGTTCAATTATTTAGCAATGTACCATATTTTAACTGAATGCCAATGAAGACATTAACACAAGCATCCTGGCATTAAATGCCATTTGTCACGGAGTGAAATTAAACAAAAAAAAATGACAAAAAGAATGGTGATGTATTTTGCAGATATGAAATGTAGTACTGCGCTGATGAGCAGTTGATGGGATGTAAATGGACACATTTCTGCAACTGCAAGAGTAGTAAAGAAACAACATGAAAGAATAAGAAAAAGTGTTTTAAGCACAAAAAAAAAAAAAAAAAAAAAAAAAAAGGAAGAAGGACAATGCTGTCTGATTCAGAAATTGTTAGATAAAACAGTGTATGCTGCCCAAAGCAACTAATCAGGCTTGCACCCACTGTCTGTCTTATCCCAGACAAAAGAGAACTGTACAATGATTGCTGGCTATGGACAAGCACACCTTCCTCTGCAAACTATAGCGAGTATTCTAGCAACAATATTAGTGTGACATTAGAGTGTAAGCTCTTCTGGTGTGAGAGACCGATTTCTTCAGCGTTTGCTGTAGATCATTGTGGAATATGTCAACCATATACAGTCAGGTCCATAAATATTGGGACATCGACACAATTCTAACATTTTTGACTCTATACACCACCACAATAGATTTTAAATGAAATGAACAAGATGTGCTTTAACTGCAGACTGTCAGCTTTAATTTGAGGGTATTTACATCCAAATCAGGTGAATGGTGTAGGAATTACAACAGTTTGCATATGTGCCTCCCACTTGTTAAGGGACCAAAAGTAATGGGACAGAATAATAATCATAAATCAAACTTTCACTTTTTAATACTTGGTTGCAAATCCTTTGCAGTCAATTACAGCCTGAAGTCTGGAATGCATAGACATCACCAGACGCTGGGTTTCATCCCTGGTGATGCTCTGCCAGGCCTCTACTGCAAATGTCTTCAGTTCTTGCTTGTTCTTGGGGCATTTTCCCTTCAGTTTTGTCTTCAGCAAGTGAAATGCATACTCAATCGGATTCAGGTCAGGTGATTGACTTGGCCATTGTATAACATTCCACTTCTTTCCCTTAAAAAACTCTTTGGTTGCTTTTGCAGTATGCTTTGGGTCATTGCCCATCTGCACTGTGAAGCGGCGTCCAATGAGTTCTGAAGCATTTGGCTGAATATGAGCAGATAATATTGCCTGAAACACTTCAGAATTCATCCTGCTGCTTTTGTCAGCAGTCACATCAATAAATACAAGAGAACCAGTTCCATTGACAGCCATACATGCCCACGCCATGACACTACCACCACCATGCTTCACTGATGAGGTGGTATGCTTAGGATCATGAGCAGTTCCTTTCCTTCTCCATACTCTTCTCTTCCCATCACTCTGGTACAAGTTGATCTTGGTCTCATCTGTCCATAGGATGTTGTTCCAGAACTGTGAAGGCTTTTTTAGATGTCGTTTGGCAAACTCTAATCAGGCCTTCCTGTTTTTGAGGCTCACCAATGGTTTACATCTTGTGGTGAACCCTCTATTTATGGACTGACTGTAAATGAATAATGAAAAAAAAAAAAAAAATGACGGGGCGTGTCCAAGATGGCGCCGAGAGCAGACGTCCTCCCTTGAGCTCCGGCATCCAGAATCCTCATCCGTTGCCATCCGTGGACAGGGGGCCGTCAGCTGGGGATCCCCTGCTGCCGGAGCCTTGTCTGAGGCCAGGGGAAGGGTGCCGAGCCACCCTGCTCTTTCTGCGGGCAGCTGGAGCGCGGGTCAATCTGCGGCCTACCGCGGCGGGTGAAGCCGCTGTGTTTCCTGAATCTGCGGCTGGGGCGGATCGCCGCCGCCGCTGGATCACCGCATCGCCGCTCTGCCCATCCGATCCAGGGGACAGGTCAGTTATTGGGGCAGACTGGGGGGACCCCCCTGATCCTCCTGGTGGCCCAGTGGATAGTGCCATATCCCCACAGCATCCCAGTGAAGTGCTGAGGATATGCATAGGGGCAGGAGTGCTGCTGGATGGGAGAAGAGGCTCCTTTGGTAAACCCCCCTCCACATGTGGATAGTTTGACAGCTAATTACTAACCTACATACCCGCTCTAGCTGCTATAGCCATCGGCATCTCACTGGCTGCAGCGTCATGAAGGTCCTGTGAACACCTCCCCGCGGGGGACACATACACGAGCCAGGAGGAAAATGTCAGTGTGACCTCTCTGTGCCGTGCCACCGAAATAATTATCTCGGCCACTGAGCTTTTTACACCTTAGCGTATCACTTCAACAGCCTGAAGGTGTCTTGGAACCTAACGAGCTACCTTTAAACAATGCATGCACCGCCCCCCCCGCACTAAACTTAAGCATCGGGCCCAACAGCATTCCCCTCCGCAGGGCCACGCCGCTAAGCTGCTTCCTAGTCCGCCTGAGCCTGATGATAATACCCAGCTTCCAGGTGACCATGAGTCTGATGGCGATAGTCAGCGGCAATTTCCATCGGGGACGGCCGATTCTTTTGAACACAATCCTGAAGCCTTGCTACACAAATTCCGTGCGATAGTGCGAGAGGAAATTACAACTGCCTCACGTAAATTATCCTCTGATCTGGCGATAGGCTTAAAGGAGCTAGGCCTTCGTGCCCACCAATTAGAACAGCGCATGGATCTGGCGACTACAGTTTTGGAGGGTCATGAACAGGAAGTGGAGGATCTGCACACTGAGCTGGATACTTTGAAAGATAAGCTGGAGGATGCTGAGAATAGAGCACGCAGGGATAACCTCCGCATTCGCGGAATCCCCGAGGCGATCACCGATCTGCAGGGTACTGCTACTGCTTTTTTCCAGGAGCTGGCCCCTGAGATTCCCATGGAACGTTTGGAATTTGACCATATCCATAGAGCTCTAGCGCCCAAGCCTACAGAGGGTCCCCCCAGAGACATTATTAAATTCCACTTTTACCGCACTAAAGAACGTTTATTGCAGGCGGCTCGGAACCGCTCGGCTCTGGAATTTCAAGGTCACTCTGTTCATTTGTTTGCAGACCTGTCCAGCTACGAAACGTCGTACTCTAAAGCCCTATCTTCAAATTCTTCAATCTGCTGATATCAAGTACAGATGGGGCTTCCCTTTCAAGCTCACATTCTCCTACCAAGGTCATCAATACCAGGCCTCCTCGCCAGCGGATCTTCGATGACACTTTCGGGAGCTTAACCTGGAACTGCCTCAATCCCAGAATGAGGAGACTTCAATTCCTACACGTCTTCGAAGCTCCCAGTCTTCGCGTAAATCTCCTCCTAGTCAAGGTAGTGCCCAGGCTCTCCGAACCCTACAAGCCCAGCGCTTTCAGGATGCTTCCGTGACTTGATGTTTGGTAGCTGACCGCCAATTTACAGCTTCGTCACGTGCGTATATCTTTTGCTGCCACTTTCTAGATTTGACTCTGGATTTGCTCAGGGATTCCCTACCTTTGGGTGTTTTGTCTCTTCCGTTCCAGAGTGGATATTGGTTTTCTCCGCATTGAACGGTTGAGACATCTATAACCCTGCGATTTCGCATTGTTCATTTATAGGTGTATTAGCCTAAGATGTTTATATAATGGTTTTTATATTTTATATTATTGCCGAGTTGTTTCGGTGGACGATCGTGTCCCCCTCTGAGCTGGCTAGCGGTCTGGTATTTTTTTTTTTTGGTCCCGCCCGCTACCTAGCCTCTAAGTGGGTGTCCTACCCACAGTTGATTATTACAATGCTTAAAGCGATTTCAATGTTTCAAAAGATATCTTGCCTGTATATCAGATGTCTTCTTGCCTTTCTTTTCTGTTTCTTTCTCCTTGTCTTTTGTTATGTGTGCTTTGTGTTTTTGTAATTTTTTTTTGAGGGCTCCCGGGGACCATGGTGGATTTGATCTTCCTCCTTTTCGATCGCCATGTCGTTGAATTGGTTATCATTAAATGTTCAGAGGATGAATTCCCCGCAAAAACGGGTAAAAATATTTAAATTTCTCCGGGCTCGTCAAGTCGACATTGCATGTTTGCAAGAAACTCACTTCTCCACTACTTCTGCCCCAAAGTATTTTGATGCGCGCTACCCTCAGATATTTCAGGCTAATGGCCCTACTAAACAGAGAGG